AAGTGGCACTGTGGCTCAAGTGGTAGAGTGCTAGCCTTGAGCTGAAGAGCTGAGGGACAGCGCCCAGGCCCAGAGTTCAGGCCCCACAACCAGACCCCCCCCAAAAAAAATTTAGAATCAGAAATTTGCTTGATAACAAGGCCTGGTGGAGCCTTGCTGATGTATGGTTACCACAGTGAAACTGTCCAAAGAGACACACTCCTGCCTCTGCTAGGCCTCTCTTCTGCCCTCTGCTGGATGAATGTTGCCAAGGTTAGATTCAGGCCCCAAAAGGCAGATGACACAGCTCCTGCTGACTGAAGTTTTATTTAGGGCCCATCCTTCTCAAGACTTGAGATACGACAGAGTCCAATCCAGCGGCTGAGGCTTTTCAGGGAGTTAACTTGAAGAGATATTTAATCAGTAAATTCTGGGTGTCTGGGAAGGGCTAAGCACTGGATAGAGGACACAAATAAGCAGAAGGGAGGCCAGCAAACGGGTGGCAACTGTATCCACTTCTAGTTTACACATCTGGCAGCCTCATCTGCATCTTTCTCTTTCTCCCTGTTGTCCTGCAGCCCCAGCGGCCCAACCCAGGGAGCTGGGCAGGGAGTGCGTCGACCAGCCGGAGTTGGCCAACTGTGACTTGATCCTGCAGGCCCAGCTCTGTGGCAATGAGTATTACTCCAGCTTCTGCTGTGCCCGCTGTGCCCGTCTCCAGCATGCTGAGCCTGTCTGGCAGCAGGGATGAAGGCTAGATCTGGCTCTAGTTCTGAACAGTTCTCTAAGAGAAGATAGACTCAGCCCCCCTCCCCACTCTCACCAAATCTGTAACTGGCAAAGGAAGCCATCTTCTGGAGATGCCCTTCCAAAAACCCTCCCGGAGCTGAACTCAGCAGCCTCCCATGGCCTCCCAGGGTTTGCAGATGACATGGCCACAGACTGCTGCTGAGTGGTCACGAGGAGGAATCTGTTTAGATAGGATGTACTTTCCTTTACCTCTTTGCATTTCTGTGTCTACTACAGGTTGAGGATCTTTTATCTGAAATGCTTGGGACCAGAAGTGTTTCAGATCTTAGAATATTTGTAGACCTTATCAATTGAACATCTCTAAATCAAATATCTGAAGTGTTCTGAAACCTGAAACACCTAAGTGCCATGTTAGCATTCAAACATGTTTAGATTTTGGGGCATTTGGATTTCCAGTTAGGGATGTCATCCTGTACAGAGACCCATTCACTACATTTTTAAGCAAACCAGCTTTAAAATCCAGAAAGAAGGGCTGGGAAGGTGGCTCTGTGGTAGAGCGCTTGCCTTGCATGCATGAGGCCCTGGGTTCGATTCCTCAGCACCACATAAGCAAAAAGAAAAAGCTGGTAGTGGCACTGTGGCTCAAGTGGTAGAGCACTAGCCTTGAGCTGAAGAGCTGAGGGACAGCGCCCAGGCCCAGAGTTCAGACCCCACAACCGGACCAAAAAAAAAAATTCCAGAAAGAGCTGGATTTTAAAGCTGGGAAGTATGTAATGTTTTCAAAGTTCACACCTGCCTTATAAGGGAATGTTTTGGGGGAAGTATTCTGTTTGAGAGCTGAATGTCATTTGGGGTCAAATGCTAGTCCGTTGCTCTAGCCTCTAGTCTTTCTAGGTAGCTCAGCTTCAAAGCCTGCTGATATTATGAAAGCTATCAGCAAAGCAGGATGGGTGTAAGACCTCAGAATAGGGATGGATCAGGGATGGAAACAGGAAAAGCTCCTTACTTCACAGCTCGCTGTGAAGGTTTGTGTGATGAGCGTGTGTAAAGCTGAGGCCACCAGGAGCCTCTCTTCCTAAGTAGGACTCTGTGAAGCAGTGTTTGCTGCCAAAAGGAAAAACAGACCATTGTTAAAAACAGAACTAGTAGGCTGAGGAAACAATGGGGAGCGGTAATGTAGTAACAGTAAAAGTGATTTCAGAAATAGCTTGAGTTGAGGGAAATCATTCTTCAATTTTATACATTAATGCTGAAACAAGCTTAGTGTCAATGAGCTACCAGGTCCCTTTCTACAATCCTTTACATTGTTGTTCCTTTACCTAGGAACAATGGTTATTTGTGGACATAGAAAAGACAGCCATTACAGGGATCAAAACTCTTCAAGGTGACTTTTATTACCCACACATGGGCTGGAAGATAGAAAAATAATATCACGGGTGGGTATATTTCTCAGTCAATCTCATTCAACAAAGAAAACATGAACAGGTATCTTTTCTTTTCTTCCAGTCCTGAGCCTGAACTCTGGGCCTGAGGGCTGTCCCTCAGCTCTTCAGCTCAGGGCTAGCTAGCGCTCTACTACTTGAGCCACAGCACCACTTCCAGCTTTTTCTGTTTATGTGGTGCTGAGGAATCAAACCCAGGGCCTCATGCATTCAAGGCAAACACTCTACCACTGAGCCACCTTCCCAGCCCCCTATCTTTTCTTTCCACTTAAAAGAGAAACATCCTCATTCACCACAGCTGGTTTTGCTATAGAACTAGGGGGAAAAAGGGCAACTTTCTTGGGCTTCCCCATTTAATGAAATAAAAATTTGGCCTGATGGCATACATACTTCAGAAGGTGCATCTGAGATTAGCTTGCCTCAAAAGCTAGCCCTTCTCAGAGCTACTCATAGAGTAGGGGGCTAAATTTAGAGGTGAGGCTCAAACTAGTAATTCTCAAACTAGTAATTCTCAAACCTACTTCATGTTGGGAGATTAAAACAAAACACAGTCACAAAAACATCCCCAAATCCCTTCTCAATCCTCACTAAAGTTTTGATAAAATTGGTCTTATGTATAGGCTGGGCACTGGGGGACTGTGAATGCTAAGTTCATATTCTATCACTGAGCTACACTCCTGGCCCTGAGTTAGGATTTTGTTGTTGTTGGTCGTGGGGCTTGAACTCTGGGCCTAGGCACTGTTGCTTGAGGCCACGGCACCACTTCTGGTTTTCTGGTGGTTAATTGGAGATAAAGAGTCTCACGGGACTTTCTTGCTCAGGCTGGCTTTAAACTGTGATCCTTGGATCTCAGCCTCCTGAGTAGCTAGGATTATAGGCATGAACCATCGGTATCTGGCCTGAGTTAGGAATTTAAAGGGATCCTAAGTATTTCTAATGCATGGCCAAGGTTGAAAAGCGCTGGTTTATCCTGGGCCAGGGCTGACATTCTGACTTTCCAACCAGCTACTACGAGAAACCTGTGTTGCTGCTCTAGCCACACTTCAGCAGAAAGAATCTGATCCATTCAGGATCAACCAGAGCCTAATTAAGAGTTTTAAGGACATATTAGTCTAAATAAGAGATTTCCTAGCACTAGAGATATGCAGCATCAGCAGAGCAAAGAGAGTAAGGCTGAAAAAAACAAGAGTACACTCACTTGCAAATAAAAAGAGGAAAGAAAGCCCTTAGTGGGTAAAAGCTTCTACCACGAACATTTATTTTTGTTAAAGCAGATTATAAATTCTCATCAGTACAAATATATATATTATGTATATATATATATATATATATATATATATATAACTTACATTTGATTGTAAGGCCAACGTTCAAAAGTAAAAATGAGATGGGAATCTCATGTTACCCGAGGTCAAGTGGCTTCAACTGGCAACAGGACATTCCATTCAGGGGAGGGGATGGG